CCCCCTTTAACCAGCCCATCAGTGTCCAATAGTATTCATGTTTGATGTTTGGGGAATGGTTCTGAGGTTTGGCACCTCTTTGGTGGAGTTTTGCATTCCATTTTCACGGCTCTGTCCTTGATCAGTCGGTTTGTTCCAGATTGACACTTCTGGTTCCTGTCACCCTGTCATCCCCCCTCCTTCCTCCCCATGTCCATTCCCTACTTCCCCATTCTCCTCCTCCCCTCTCCTCCCCTGTATTTTATGGCAGGATGCCAGTGAAGAGATGCTGAAGATGGCAGACCTGACATTCTGCCCCCCCTTGTAAAAAGATGTTAGTCCTATGGGAGAAGGAGACAAAAAGAGAGAGAGTTAGAGTTCAATGGGGTTTATCTGGGTACTTGCTGTGGAATTTGTGGAGGAGTTTCGGGGCTTGGACATGTGCCTCAACCCATTCTGTCTCTGACAGAGAAGGAAATGGCAAACCACTCCAGTATCTTTGCCATGAAAACCCCATGGACAGTACCAAAAGGCAAAAAGATATGACGCTGGAAGATGAGCCCCTCAGGTCGGAAGGTGTCCAATATGCTACTGGGGAAGAGCAGAGGGCTAGTACTAGTAGCGCCAGAAAGAATGAAGCGACTGGGCCAAAGCCGAAAGGACGCTCAGCTGTGGATGCATCTGGTGGTGAAAGGAAAGTCCGATGCTGTAAAGATCTTTTCTCCATAGGAACCTGGAATGTAAGATCCATGAATCAAGGCAAGCTGGACGTAGTCAAACAAGAGATGACAAGACTGAACATCGACATCTTAGGAATCAGCAAACTAAAATGGACAGGAATGGGTGAATTTAACTCAGATGACCATCAGGTATACTACTGCGGACAAGAATCCCTCAGAAGAAATGGAGTAGCCTTCATAGTCAATAGAAGAGTAGGAAAAGCAATACTGGGATACAATCCCCAAAATGTCAGAATGATCTCAGTTCAAATCCAAGGCAAACCATTCAATATCACAGTAGTCCAAATCTATGCCCCAACCACTGGTGCTGAAGAGGATGAAATTGACCGGTTCTATGAAGCCCTACAGCACCTTATAGAATTAACACCAAAAAATGATGTCCTTATCATCATGGGGGATTGAAATGCTAAAGTAGGAAGCCAAAAGATAACCGGAATAACAGGCAGGTTTGGCCTTGGAGTACAAAATGAAGCAGGGCAGAGGCTGATAGAATTTTGTCAAGAGAATATGATGGTCATAACAAACACTCTTTTCCAACAACCCAAGAGACGGCTCTACACATGGACATCACCAGACGGTCAACACAGAAATCAGATTGACTATGTGCTCTGCAGCCAAAGATGGAGAAGCTCTATACAGTCAGTAAAAACAAGACCAGGAGCTGACTGTGGCTCAGATCATGAGCTTCTCGTTGCAAAATTTAGGCTTAAATTGAAGAAAGTGGGGAAAAGCACTAGGCCACTCAGGTATGAACTAAATCATATTCATGATGAATATACAGTAGAGGTGACAAATAGATTTAAGGAATTAGATCTGATAGACAGAGTGCCTGAAGAACTATGGATGGAGGTTCGCAACATTGTACAAGAGGTAGCAACTAAAACCATCCCAAAGAAAAAGAAATGCAAGAAAGCAAAATGGCTGTCTAAGGAAGCTTTGCAAATAGCTGAGGAAAGAAGGGAAGCGAAAGGCAAAGGAGAAAGAGAAAGATACACCCAATTGAATGCAGAATTCCAGAGAAGAGATAAGAATACCTTCTTAAATGAACAGTGCAAAGATATAGAAGAAAATAATAGAATAGGGAGGACCAGAGATCTCTTCAAGAAAATTGGAGATATGAAGGGAACGTTTCATGCAAAGATGGGCATGATAAAGGACCAAAATGGCAGGGACCTAACAGAGGCAGAAGAGATTAAGAAGAGGTGGCAAAACTACACAGAAGAACTATACAAGAACGAGCTTAACATTCCAGATAACCATGATGGGGTGGTCACTGACCTCGAGCCAGACATCCTAGAATGTGAAGTGAAATGGGCCTTAGGAAATCTGAGCAACAACAAAGCTAGTGGAGGTGACAGTATTCCAGCTAAGCTATTCAAAATCTTAAAAGGCGATGCAGTAAAAGTGCTACACTCAATTTGCCAGCAAATTTGGAAAACTCAACAGTCGCCACAGGATTGGAAAAGGTCAGTTTACATTCCAATTCCAAAGAAAGGCAATGCCAAAGAATGTTCAAACTATCGCACCATTGCACTCATTTCACATGCTAGTAAAGTTATGCTTAAAATCCTACAAGCTAGACTCCAGCAGTATGTGGATCGAGAACTACCAGAAGTACAGGTAGGATTTCGAAGAGGCAGAGGAACTAGAGATCAAATTGCCAACATACGCTGGATCATGGAGAAAGCTAAGGAGTTCCAGAAAAACATCTACTTCTGCTTCATTGACTATGCTAAAGCCTTTGATTGTGTGGATCACAACAAATTGTGGCAAGTTCTTAAAGAGATGGGAGTACCAGACCATCTTATTTGTCTCTTGAGAAACCTATATGTGGGTCAAGAAGCAACAGTGAGAACTGGACACGGAACCACTGATTGGTTCAAAATTGGGAAAGGAGTCCGGGAAGGCTGTATACTGTCGCCCTGCCTATTTAACTTATATGCAGAGCACATCATGAGAAAGGCAGGGCTAGATGAATCAAAAGTTGGAATTAAGATTGCCGGGAGAAATATCAACAACCTAAGATATGCAGATGATACCACTCTAATGGCAGAAAGTGAAGAGGAACTAAAGAACCTCTTGATGCGGGTGAAGAAGGAGAGTACAAAAGTTGGCTTGAAACTCAACATTAAGAAAACCAAAATCATGGCATCCAGCCCTTTCAATTCCTGGCAAATAGATGGGGAAGAAATGGAGGTAGTGATAGATTTTATTTTCCTGGACTCCAAGATCACCGCAGATGGGGACTGCAGCCAAGAAATTAAAAGACGCTTGCTCCTGGGAAGGAAAGCTATGGCAAATCTAGACAGCATACTAAAAAGCAGAGACATCACCCTGTCAACAAAAGTGCATATAGTCAAGGCCATGGTTTTCCCAGTTGCAATGTATGGATGTGAAAGTTGGACCATAAGAAAGGCTGAGCGACAAAGAATTGAGGCCTTTGAACTATGGTGCTGGAGAAGAACTCCTGCGAGTCCCTTGGACTGCAAGGCGTTCAAATCAGTCAGTCCTAGAAGAGATCAACCCCGACTGCTCTTTAGAAGGCCAGATCCTGAAGTTGAAACTCAAATACTTTGGCCACCTAATGAGAAGGAAGGACTCACTGGAGAAGGGCCTAATGCTGGGAAAGATTGAGGGCAATAGAAGAAGGGGACAACAGAGAATGAGGTGGCTGGATGGAATCACTGAAGCAGTAGGCGTGAGCTTAAATGGACTCCAGAAGATGGCAGAGGAAAGGAAGACCTGGAGGAACATTGTCCATGGGGTTGCGATGGGTCGGACACGACTTCACAATTAACAACAACAACTCTCCTCCTGTGTTTGTGAGAGTCCAAAATTTCTTTAACTTTGAAATGTTGTTCCCCTTTGATTAGAATGGGGGTTGGAGGTGTTTTCATTGTGGGGCGTAGGGGAGAAGTGATTGCCAGTTTTAATAGGCTACAGTAGAATACTGGGTGAACACGCCTGAGTGCTTTGGGTAGGTCTAATTGACTAACTGGGTTGATGATTTTATTAATTGGAAAGGGGCCAAAGTACTTAATTTTTTCAAAGGTTGCCTAGACTGGAGATATTTGGTGGACAGACTCTGTTGCCTATGTTGAAGTCTTTTGGTTTGGAGCATTTTTTGTGGGTTTTTTTTTATAAGTCTCTTGTATCTGTTGTATTTACTCACCCACAGTCATTTGCTGCATCTCCACATCTATTTCATTGAGGCCTTAATTTATGTATTTATGCATCTCTCTCATTCATCATTAGTCACATCTTCAGGAACTTCCTGAGCCTTCTTTGATCCTGAGAATTTCTTGGGAGGCTGTAAGAATTATTTAAAGCCACAGTTTTGAGGAAAGCGAATGACAGAGTTCATATGTGGTGCTAAACTATTATTTGTTTAGGCATAGTTTCTTGAGTAATTATGATTGGCGGTATGCAAAAACACTATGCTTAGACCAAGCCAATTATACAGTTAGAACAATCAGTGGAATAACCTGCCTCCAGAAGCTGTGAATGCTCCAACAATGGAAGTTTTTAAGAAGAGACTGGACAGCCATTTGTCTGATATGTTATAGGTTTCCTGCCTGAGCAGGGGGTTGGACTAGAAGACCTCCTAGGTCCCTTACAACTCTGTTATTGTGTCATTCTGTTACATGGCAGCTTACTCTATAGACAAATCTGATCTCTGTGAACTTTCTTGTCTCCTAGATACTGCCGGTTAGCTTGGGGCTCCAATGGAGGAGCATCACAGTGGTGGTGATCGATTGATTAATAACAGATCCCACCTCCCCCCAGTCCTGCTCCCACCCTGCCCATCTTTAATTGGGCCCATAGTGTTTGCTTGTGTATTAACTTAACGTTTTTAGTTTATACAATTTTTATCTTTTATGACCGTAAGCCGCCCAGGGTTACCCTGTGGTAAAATGGGCACCCAGTAAAATTTATAAATAAATATATTTTATAAATAAATATTTAATTTAAAAAATCTTAACCAGTATCCAACAAATTGTGAATCTTTTCTTAACTGCAAATTGCCCTAAAAAAAAATGAAGTAGTGATTATAAGAAGCTGCGACCCAAGATGGTTTTTGTTTTTATTTAATGCTCAGACACAGAAAGAGTCTATACCACAGAAAGATCCATTTTAAGTTTTGCTCTGCCCTCCACTTCAAGCATACCTCTAACTTCTTATTATCCAGTTGTAAACAGGCCATTGCAAAGGAGTGGGACCATTTTCTTATTCCCAACCAGTTAAATATTGACTTTACTCTGATTTTCCTTGCCAGCCCTTGCACACCTGCTCAACGAAGATGAACGAGGGAAAAGTAGATGAGGCAGTAGTGACTAATGGGCCCAGCGCATCTCAAGCACCATTTCAGTTTAGTGCCAATCCCACTCTGGAAGACATGTGAGACAGCCCTTTATATCACCCCACTTACCCCTAATTCATGCCGCTTCCCCGTTTTGGAAGGGGTACATATGAAAGATCTCTCCCTCTGCGGCCTTCTCATCTTCTCTTCCACTTTGTCTCCTGCAGCCGGAGCCTCCAGTCGGCCTTCGCAGCTGAGCGGGACTGGGGAAAGTACCACCAGCCCCGGAATCTGCTTCTTGCTCTGGTTGGGGAAGTTGGGGAGCTGGCAGAGCTCTTGTGAGTATAACAATCTGTGGAGTGGGGGGAAGAGATGGGGAGGTAGATCCCGAAATGCCTTCTTGGGGACCGCAAGGGTCCCACCCACTAGGACAGACATGTCAAACACAAGGCTCGGGGGCCGGATGTGGTGGTTTCATGTGGCCTGCGAAGCCATCCTGGAAACAGTGAGGGAACGGCCCCTGCTTCCTTGGCGCTGGCCCAGGCCAGCCGGGAGCCAATGTACAATTTTGTGATGGGCATCTATGCTGAAACACATTCAGTCTTAGCTCCACAAGGCCGTCTGGAAACAGCGAGGAACCAGCCCCTGCCGCTTCAGCCCCGCCCCCTGGGTGCATGCCGGGGAGGTGTCCCCTACTTCACATATCCGGCTTGATGGGCTCCGGGGGAGGGGTTTCAGCAGGCAGTGAGGCTCCTCCAGTGGACCATGCCTTGGCACTTGCCCTGGTCCCACCCCCTTCTGCCAGAGACCCTCACATCTGTCCCACTCCTGCCCAGGCCTCCATAGGCACCCTTGACGTGAACGATGTAGAGCTGGCCATGCCCACCCAATAGGCCACACCCACTCCATCTACACCCACCCAATAGGCCACACACACCCTAGCCACACACACCCCGAGGGCAACCGCAATGCTGATGCGGCCCTCAATGAAATTGAGTTTGACACCCCTGCACTAGGAGTTAGGCAATGCAGAGAAGCTTTCCTTCTGCTAGTTCATGACCGCAATAAAGTTATTTAAATTTGAACTTTGTAGGTTTCCATTGTCCCCTCCCTCTGCAGTTTAATTCGGGAAAAGGGTACTTATAAGCACAGTTGGGACCAGAATTTAATTGCTAAACAAGGTAGTTTTTAAGTGAGTCGTGCCCGATTTTATAACCTTTTTTTGCCACTTGTTAAGCAATCACTGCAGTTGCTAAGTGAGTCATGCTGTCATTAAGTAAATCCCCCTTCCCACATTGACTTTGCTTGTCAGAAGCCAGCTGGGAAGGTCACAAATGGCAATCCGTGACCACAAGACGCGGCAATGGTCATAAATACATGGCAGTTATCAAGTGCCCCAATTTTGATCACATGACCATGAATATATTGTAACGGTCATATGTCCGAGGAACGGTTCTAAGTCTTTTTTCCCCAGTCATTTTAACTTTGGCCACTAAATGAAAGGCTATAAGTTGAGGACTACCTGTGTGTCCACAGGAAGAGCTAAGATTCGGTTAGCTTTGATGGCAATAGGACTGCTTCTGCAGGATATCTGCTAAGAGATCAGTGGGCTTCCTTGTGTAGTTAGTTGTCTCCTGGACTGGGGGGGGGGGTTCTTCCATTCAAATACAAGCGTACATTTTAAATTAGACATCTAGGCAAGTTACAACTTTGACCTGCAGTTGCGAGCAGATCTACAAAATGTGGATGAGGTGCTTTATGGGGGCTCCCCATGGCTGCAACGCTCATCCATATCACCAGTCGGGGACTGGGTTCAGACATGCTGATTTGGTTTGAGCTTAAATGACTGTCCTTATTTACACAATGATGCTCTTTTTGTGGTTTTATTAATTTGGCATGGTTCCCGTTCCATTGGTTAGGTTACAAATGGAGGCGAACATACGTGTCCCAGGATAATGTTGCAGGATCCAATCTGGTTGGGCCACCAGGACCAGGGGTTTTGTATTCCGAGCTTTTGGACTTGTACTGCAGCCCATCTTCAGGGAACTTCTCTCTAGACACACAGCCAAGTTGCTGAAGAAAAGTCAGAAAGGCTAGAGAGAAGTTCCCTAAAGATGGGCTCCAGCAGGCATCTCAAAGCTCAGAAGACAAAACCTCGGGTCCCAATTACTGGCCCAGATTGGACCCTGCATAGGTTATGTTATTTATTTAGCCCAGAAATAATTACCGTACCCTTTATCAGATTACAGAAAAGTATTTTTTTTTTAATTTTAAGATAAAGGCTAGGGCAGGGGTAGGCAACCTTGGCTCTTTTATGACTCGTGGACTTCAACTCCCAGAATTCCTGAGCCAACATGACTCAGCATGGAAACCTCTCCCTTTCCCCTCAGCATGGCTGGCTCAGGAATTCTGGGAGTTGAAGTCCACGAGTCATAAAAGAGCCAAGGTTGCCTACCTCTGGGCTAGGGTAATGCTTTTTGAGCTAAATAAATAAATAACACAACCTATGCCCAGAGCAAACCCAAGTATTGACAGCTGCTTCCTAGCCCTATTCTACTTACCAAGGAAAGGAAAGGGAGAGAAGGATTCTTCAGCTGTGGCACTGGATTCCATTTTCCATGGATATTGGCTTGTCAAGGTTAAAAAAAACTCTGGTTTAGCATGAGAAGAGAATCTCCCTCAGGTTTCCTTCCCCCTCTTCAATCTGGCTCCATCTAGGCTGTTTTTTGCACTCAATGCTTTTGTCTGTTTTTTTTTTTTTTTTTAGCCAATGGCGGGAAGAAGCTCCCGAAGGCCTACCAGGGTGGAGCCCATTGGAGCGTGAAGCTCTTGCTGATGAGCTCAGTGATGTCCTTATTTATCTGGTTGCCCTGGCAAACAAGTGCCATGTGGACCTCCCTACGACTGCTCTCCGTAAAATAGAGAAGAACCGCCTCAAATATCCAGCCAAGCGGGTCTATGGTTCCTCCAAGAAATACACGGAGTATCAGGAATAAGTATGGAGAGAACCTCTTCCTGGATGGAGAGAAGAAGAATCACTCTGTGGCTTCTAGAAGATGCTCTTTTCACGGTTTATGACTTCTTTGGGATGAGCAATTCAAAGTGACCCCTGTTTCGCTTTCGACTTGGGAAGGATCCAGCAAGCTCTGATTCAAAGATAGACCAATGGACCTGTTGTGGAGATCTCTGTTTTTGATCCTTTGCCCTGTCTTTTCTTTTGCAAAGTCGATCTGGGGAACCTGTGACCATCCAGGAAGTGTTGGGCTGCAATTCCATCACTCTTGAGACCGTGTTGGCCAAGAGTTGGAGTCCATCCAGATTCTCCATCCCAAACCTCAAGGGTTGCAGATGGATGCACGGGAGTGCAGAGAAATTTCTCTGGAGGGAGGTAAAACTTAAATGTCCCATTGGCTGTGGAAAAAGATAGTTTACAGAGAGAAATACATGTCCCCTTCCTCGTGGAGGTGTATCAAGCATAGAAGTGCAAGGAGTTTTTATAAACTCTGCTTTCTGAGTGAGGCTAGATTCTTCTCTCCAGCTTATGGCTATAGTTTTAGTTTAGTTTTTAGAGAAAAATAGGTGGCCACCATTTTGGCCTGAAGCAATTGATGATTTCTTCTTGACTGCACATTCTTTCCAGTAGAATTGCCCACCTCAAAGTGTAAATTACACCTCATTTGGTCTTAAAAACAAACGTGGAGGGCTTCTCTGAGGGAAGAAATGGCGGGAAGCTGAAGAATGAAATGGCTGTGGTGGTTTTCCTGCCCAGACTGGCAACATCACAAGGCTATCGTCGTAAAATAATAAAAATTTCAAGAGGTTGCTAGATACGCCTTCTCTGTGTTGATTAATTTGCTCCTATCGAGTCGGCAGAAAGGACGAGTGATGTCATGATGCAAATGTGTCATCCCCTTACAAACACGTGACAGTACAATGTATAGTCAGCACACGCGTGTGATATTGCAACACCAGTGCAGAAACAGTGGAGCACGCGTCATGAGGTGGTCGCACAAATGTCATGATGTGGGAGATACTGTGGATAGAAATGGACACCTGTGTTTCTTCTTCAGCACTTTAGTATCCCCTCCATCATATTTCTATTCTTGCTCGCCCAATAAACCATCCTGCTGATTCTGCCTATTACAGGTAGCCCTNGACCCACTGCATCGCCTCCTCAGCTGTCGGCTGGCCGTTCAGCTCAGAGGCGGCTTCTCTGAACTGGTGGTGGGCTGCGGAGCCCGAGAGTGCACCGGTCGAGGGGCTGGCAGGCTGTGGCTGCTGATGGACACTGTCAGCCCCCATGCGCTCGCTGGCCTCTGTGTGCGGGGGCCGATGGTGTCAGGCAGAAGTCGCCCTGGCCCCTGCCTCACCTTGCCCTGCAACAATGGCACCCCCGCCCTGCCTCGCCTCACCCTGCAGGACGAGCCTCCTACCCACTGTCCCACCTGCCAGAGACCACCTGGATCTCCCCCAACCCTGTCCGGCCCCCACAGGCGTCCCTCTCCACGAGCAACATCGAGGTGACCACGCCCACCTTGGCCACACCCACCCAGTCTGCCATGACCACCACAGCCACGCCTACCCAGTGGGCCATGTCCACCGGCACCCGGCAATAAATAAGTGGGTTTTGGGTTGTAGTTTGGGCACTCGGTCTCTAAAAGGTTCGCCATCACTGGTCTATGGAGATTCTCAGTCATCCACCTCATGGTTGTCCCAAGGGTGCAACACAGTCCTTTCAGCAGTTCCGAAAAGGTTCCACATCCATTTGCATTATTCAGTTGACCCCAAGGGCACAGATAAACCTCCAAGTAGCCCTAGTGACTCCCAGAAAGAGTGCTAATGACCAGATGACTGCAAAGTATATAAATGCTTCCATTCCCTACCATTCAGTCTGAAGAAGCTCCTTGGATGAGAAATGAAACATCTTCAAGGAAAAGCAAACTCCAGTGGCCTCTTGAAAAAGCACCTTTGGGATCATCAGTGCTAGTGAGCATATAAGTGAGTGAGACCCTCTGAAGGAGATGGGTGGTTTAGAAACATGAAATATATAAAAATAAACAGAAGCAAAGTCTACACCAGTGATGGCGAACCTTTTAGAGACCGAGTGCCCAAACTGCAACCCAAAACCCACTTATGCATCGTCGGGTGCCGGGTGGGTATGGCCCATTGGCTGGGCGTGGCTGCGGTGGTAATGGCAGACGGGGTGGGACTAAAAAGTTAAATCAATCAATTCCAACTTTGCAAGATCTTTTTTCCCCCCGCGAGAAGTTGAAATTGACTGATTGAACCTTTTTTTTTTTTTTTGCACATGGCGGCGGAAACCTAAAGCGAAAAGGTTTTATAAAACCCAGCTGAAGGCCTAGGACTGGGGCGACGGCGCGCGTGCCCACAGAGAGGGCTCTGAGTGCCGCCTCTGGCACCCATGCCATAGGTTCGCCACAACTGGTCTACACTGACTAGCGCTGATGATGTTACATAGTTTGGGTAATGAAATCTCTGCAAGAAAACAACCAAGCTCAGAGAGCATCAAGGACAGTGCAGACAGTTCAAATCTGAGCTACAAATATTCTCTTTTATTGGTATATTTTTCTTCTTTGAGGGAAATGAGAGAAAGCGCTTTATCTTTTCTCTGGGAGATCTCTTTTGCATCTGATTGCATAATGGTAGGTGGGAATACCATGGTTTACCAAGGCCATGTTTTCCCCAGTTGCAATGTATGGCTGTGAAAGTTGGACCATAAGAAAGGCTGAGCGCCAAAGAATTGAGACCTTTGAACTACGGTGCTGGAGAAGACTCCTGCGAGTCCCCTGGACTGCAAGGCGATCAAACCGGTCAGTCCTAGAGGAGATCAACCCCGACTGCTCTTTAGAAGGCCAGATCCTGAAGTTGAAACTCAAATACTTTGGCCACCTAATGAGAAGGAAGGACTCACTGGAGAAGGGCCTAATGCTGGGAAAGATTGAGGGCAATAGAAGAAGGGGACGACAGAGAATGAGGTGGCTGGATGGAGTCACTGAAGCAGTAGGCGTGAGCTTAAATGGACTCCAGAAGATGGTAGAGGACAGGAAGGCCTGGAGGAACGTCATCCATGGGGTCGCGATGGATCGGACACGACTTCGCAACTAACAACAACAACGTGAGAATGACCTTGGGACATGGGGCAGAGCCGTGCTCAGAATTAGGGCATGGCAAACATCTCAGAAAAGACTCTCCCTAATTCCTTAGGCTGTAAAGGCGAAGGGGGAGAGATGTTCTTTCAGACTTTCGAAATTCTGTCAACGTAACCTTAGAATAAAGTAGAGCTAGTACTTCTGGGTGTGTTTCTTGTCTGGACTACCTCGCAAGGCTGACAGATACCCAAGGGATTCCCCCACCCCTTGCAACTAAGAGGGAAACCAAGCAGGAAATATGAGATGGAAAGTTGCAGAAGTCCATCATTCTCCTTTGCCATCAACCCCATCACTTGCATGAAAGTGATAGTAGGATGGTTGCATAACGGTCCTGCTTCTCTTTGTGACTCACCTCCTCGTCCTTCTCGCGAATTAACTTCTCTGTCTCAGACATCGGCAGGACAGGCAGGTCGGTGGCACTCTGGCGGGACAGTTTCCTAGCGAGACAGGAGTTTTAAATTTCACCGGGTCACATTCTTGGTATGTACGTATCTGATGATTTGATTATCTATGCTTTATTTAAATGGGTGTTTTCCAAACGTGGCAACTTTTAAGATGCATGGGCTTCAACTCCCAGAATTTTCCACCCAGCGTTGGCTGTGAGTTAAAGTCCACAAGTCTTAAAAGTTGCCAAGTTTGAAAAACATTGATTTAAATAAGCTCAACTGAAAAAGAAAGATTAGAAAAAGGGGGGAAAGAGGAAAAGCAAAACCACAGCAAATTATATATCTTTGGGCCTCTTACACATATTATACACGTATATAAAGTTTTATACAACAGTTCAGTTAAGAATGATTGTACTTCATTTTAATAATCCAAGCAGTCTTCTATATCAGTGGTTCTCAACCTGTGGGTCGGGACCCCATTTGGGGTCGATCGACCATTTCATGGGGGTCGCCAAGCAAGGCTGTCCGCCATTTTTTTTGTCCGCCATTTTTTTGTCCGCCATTTTTTTCCCCTTTTCCGGCGGGTGCCTTACCTCCCTTGAGCTGGGCCAGCTGGTGGTCGGCCTGCTCCGTCTCTGCCGCTTGCCAGCTACACCTCGGCCGGCGCAGGGGGCGGAACCACGCATGCGCGGCACTCCCGGGCAGGGAAAGTCCTCGACGTACGACCGGTTGGGTAGTCCTTGACTTACGACTGGTTTAGTCCTCGACTTACGACCGGTTTAGTCCTCGACTTACGACCGGTTTAGTCCTCGACTTACGACCGGTTGGGGTCGCGGCATTAAAAAGGTTGAGAACCACTGCTCTATATGGATCTACGTACAGTTCATCTACAATCCTGAGGGTTAACAAGCTTTATTTTTTAAAAAAGACACCGGATTGGCAATGAAGCTAGTCTGTGTTACCTCTGTTATATATTTTTTTCTGCCAGTGTCTTCATTAATAAAATTTCAAAGGATTTTTTTTTTAGAAAAATCTTGTTTCAACTGATTCCGAATACTCCATTAAGTCAGGTGAAAGGCATACCCTGGCCTAATTCAGATAAATCGCTAAGCCATCATGTATGTTTGGCTTTGGCGTAACAGATTGTGTAAACCTAGCCTGTGGTTTAGAAACCATGATTTATGAGTCAGCTTGTTTATAGGTAATCCTTGACTTACACATTCCTTTAACAGCCGTTCAAAGTTAACAGTAGCTTTGGAAAAAAGTGACTTACAACTAGTCCTCATGGTTACAACCATTGCAGCATGGGCTCACGTGATCAAAATTTGGGCACTTGGCAACCAGGATGTATTTACGACCGTTGCAGTGTCCTGAGGTCATGTGATCACCATTTGTGACCTTCCCAATTGGCTTGAGACAAGCAAAATCAGTAGGGGAAACCGGATCTGCTCGCAGGTGCATGTTTGACTTAACAACTGCAGTGTTTCGCCCTAACAAGTGTGGCAAAAAAGGTCGTAAAATTTTGCATGTCTTACTTAACAAC